TGAAAATATAATACTCCAACGAAGTTTAAGCCTCGCACCTTATCCGGTAAGCGAAATGGCCATTTCGCTACAAATATGTTTGAAGTGCCTTAAGTCGTGGTGCAAGTGCAAATCGGGACTCAGTTTAGGCACACGATTTCCCATATAGCGGCAAATATTCTGACAAAATTTAAGTCACTGTTTTCCGGCTAGTTTTCTAGCTAGCACAGTGCCACCTGCGAAATTTTATTTGACCGCACGCACGGTATAAGCCTATACAATAGCTGAATTTGAATTGTTTAGCTCATACAAGCACATGGAATATCGCTGCAGAGTTTCATCTTGTCTGGTCTTCCAAATCTTTTTCCGCCAAAGAAATTTGCATGATTTTTTTCTGGAGGAGAGGGGGAGGGGGGAAGGGGGTGCATACGCGAGACTTAGGCACTTATAAGTAGTGACTTTAAAACGGGGAGGTGACACGTAAAGTAGGAATATACCCTCAAAATTTTAGCATTCCAGCTCTTCTAGTTGCTGAGTTGAAAGTGGGTGACAAAGTTCACTCAATTTCGAACACACACGAACTGTAGCAACACTATAGCGCTGCACAGCAAAAACGCATAAAAAAGTAAACAACAGCAGGTTAATGTGAGCTCCGGGCTTGAACTTTTGACACAAGATTATTGATTTGGCACACGATCACTGACACAGTATCTCAGAGTATTTTCCAGATTGTCGTCTGTTCACTTTGTGCGTGTTTTAGTTTTATTTATTTTCATGGAGGCACAGAGACCCGGCGGAATACAAACCCCCTCCCCCCCGTTCAGCTAGTTAGGTACCCATCCCGGCCCCCTCCATGTGCAGGATTAAAACCGGTCGCGGGTTGGATCCGAGTTTTCATCTTGAGATCTACAAAAGCTATAAGGCTGAAACTTTGGCAATTTAATTTACATGTACGTGAGGGCTCGTATCCTCAAAATGAACAGTTACGGCCGTACGAGCTCACGTACGAGCATGTGAAAATTTTTTTTGGTAAGAAAACGATTTCGGGAACGGGCAAGCTAGAATACTGAAATTTTGCGAAGATATTCCTTTGACACGTCCAGTCCAAAGATTCCGAATTCAGCCCTCACGCACTCCTGGGGTTCATATACGCACAGGTCAAGATTTAAACTGGCATCATGCCAACTCCAGGTTTAAGCTGACCGAGAATTTGTGGACAGCTGTAATTTTGCGGCGTTACTTGCTGCCCACTGATTTGTCCGTGAAAGTAAATTAAACTTTCCGGCTGTTCTGCACCACAGGTACGGTCACATGGAATTTCCACGCAGACAGTTTTGTAACTTCGGAACTGAAGTAGCTAAAGAACTTAAACTTTCTGAGTATAGCCAGCGGCGCCGTTTAACCAAATGGAGGTAAAAACGATTGCGTCCTTTTCATGTTCACGTACGCACAGTAACTCCGCAATCAAAACAGTTAGGTCCCTGAAGTTTTCCGAGCTTGGCCCAGGACCGTCTTTGAGCAAACACACGCGAAAACAGCATTCATTTTTCCTCTCACGTACGGATGCGTGAAACTTGACGCAACTCTGCAAACAGTGCAACTGGAGTGCTGAAATATTTGAGGAAGGATTGGATGTCACTAATTTCTGACATTCATGGTGGCCAGTATCAATAATTTTAGCTAGAAGCGCTTGCCAGGAATAACAGCGCTGTTAACAAAAAAAAAAAAAAAAAAAAAAAA